AAAGAGAACATTGATGCACAGTTTGCATATTTTTTTGGATTTTTTAAGGCTCTGCTGAATTCTGTAGCTGCGCAGTTCTAAGGAGCATATCAAAAGCATTTTTCTGCAAAAGTATAGATTATATATGCACAACATGCATTCAGTTATGCATATTTATTGTATCTTTATCATAAGGACTTAAAATTTGATCAAAATATGATGTATTTTAGCCATTTGAAGAAATGTTTACATTTTGTTCTCACAGCACTAAGGGTGGCCGTACATCCCCCTTAACATCATACCATTTATTACTAAGGTTCCCTTTAAAACATCGACGTTGAAAAAGTAAGATAATGATTCTTAAGAATATATATCTTTGACATTAGAAATTTACTACATGTTAAATAAGGGTTATGTCTTGTGCTGAAGTTCGAATATATGAAGTTTTATTTAAAAATTAATGTGACCTTAATTGTGCGAAAAACCATGTGAGTTTAAAACGTGCGTTGAGCTGCATAGTGATAACTTTGACACTTTGATTTACTGAAGTGATAACTATAAAACTTTGATTTACCATAGCGATCACAATGAAAACTTTAATTTATTAGGGTAAAATTTTGATGTACTATAGTGATAATTGTGGCACTATAGTGGTCAATTTGAAACTTTGATTTACTATCATGATAACTTTGACTTAATATTGTATTTTTGTAAGGGATGTACATATATACTCGTTCAATGATTTAAGGGGTACTTATGGAATCCGGATAGGGCCACACAGTTCACTATCGTATCATCGCACCTTCGAGGTTTCGTTCGATGATGCAAATGCACGATAATTGAATGACGATGAAGCGATAGTGTGATAGCGCAAAGAGGATGATATAAAGGCGCGACAATGCGATGTTGATGGTGCGATAGCACAATGAAGCAATAGTGCAAAAGTGATGACACGATGGTGCGATGACGATGGCGCAATATTCCACATCGCGCTATTGCACCATCGTTAATAACATTGTCGTACCATCGCATTACCGTCATCGCGCCATAGCTCAATCGTCATTGCAGAATCGCTTCATCGTTATCACATCATCGATCTATTAGTCTATGCTCTATGAAGCTATAGTGAACTGCATGCATGGTCCTTTCTGGAGTCCATAGAGAATGGTCACATAAACAACATGCCTTTGATTGCAGCCCGGAGGACAGGGCTGCTCTATACATGTACATACAAGTTAAAGTGTTGGTGTATGGGGGCTGAGGTGGGAGAAGTTATTAAAGGTTTTCTAAACATTAAAAAGATTGTTAATCAGAATGTTTCCTTCTATAAATTATGAGAAACACAATATATTTACTTCCATAAAGTGAATCTGTAAAAATATATATGTTTTTCATATTTAATATATAAAGTTGCTAATCATTTACTATCGATAAAAGACATGTCCCTTCTTTTAGAACAAAGAATTTTACTTATCGCTTAAAAACGTACTTTACATAGTTCGTGTTTTATATTAGTAAAGTGAAATACATTTTTGAAAATAGGTGATGCATGTGTCTGGTTACAATTTATATTTTATGCAGCCAACATTTACTTAGGGAATTGATAAAAATTAAAAGGGTATCTTTTTTTCGATTTTCATCCGACTATGTTTTCAAAATATTCTCGACTATCATCTCCATCATGTAGACGCATGTCTTTTTCGCACATATCGAAGCGTTTGATGATCAAGACTCATTTTCATTGTTAACTTTATTCATTTCCCGGGAGACAATTGATAGTTATATCATTGTTTTCTTGTTTTATTTAGATATTGAGAAATGATTTAATCTAATGGATATTTTGCAAAAACAAGTAAAAATCAAAGGAAAGTAATGATTTATTTGTCTGGTAATCATAAAGAAAAAATACAATAAACTAAAAGATATACATACAGTAAAACCAGCAGAATTCCTGGTCTATTAGCCTCTAAGAATTTTTCTTCGAATCATACATGTGCATGATGTATAATTATAAGTTATTATATCAATTCACTTTTATTTGTCTATTATTTTCTTTATATGAGCATTGAAAACAACAAAATCACTATCTGTAAAATACATTCAACATTCATTTAAACACATATACAGAATTAGTTTACCTTTCAATTATACATTTTTACAATAATAGAAAAAATTCATGTGAATAACAAAGAGGGAGTAAAATAAAGATTTCCCTAAATATTTAGTACATTAATGCATAGCCTTGAACTAGTGTCATGAATTTCACAAATCTATAAAAACTTCTTTGCTCAATACAACTTTGTACACTAATATATACCCGAGGGTAGAGAAGATTTTTAAGGGAATGATGCATAATCACTTTAAATGATCATTTTAACCAATACAAAAATCTTTGACACATGGACGTGAATTTCACAGTCTTTGTTCATCATAACCTTCTCGAGCATGCATGTTGAGTAACATCTATCATTCATTTTAAAAATAAATTCTCGCTGATGAAACCCGATGATAAATTAATAACCCTAAGTATCTGATGAGATTGTAGCTCTACTGTCTACATATAACAAAAGAATCAGGCAGTATTAAAAAGAACTAGAACTGTCCAAAAGGAAATATCCCCCCCTGGGTTTTTTAGAGAAGGTGTCGAATAAAGAATATTTATGGACCTAAGAGAAGAAAGAAATGCTAAAACATTTTTTGTGCAAATATAATTGCTTATTATATTTTTATGAATGAAACGAAGGTACAGCCTAAAAATAATAAATACTAAGGATACAGACCAGACACGAATTATGAACTTTTTCTGTCAGTGACCTTGAACTTGCATTAATGACCTTGGTTCAGAGGCACACCCTTAGGTCATAAGCAATCTTTGTGTAAAATGGGAATTCTCATTTATCCATAAGAAATACATAGAGCAGGCATGAATTATATTTTTGTCAGCGTCATTGAACTTATTCAAATGACCTTGGGTCAAAGTCATGACACACACTCAGGTCATAAGCAATCTTTGTTTGAAACAAAAACCCTCCATGTTTATCCATAAGAAAGATATGGACCAGGCACAAACTATGAACTTTTTTCTTTCAGTAACCTTTAACTTCCACAAATGACCTTGGGTCAAAGACATGTCATACCTTCAAGACATTAGCAATCTTTGTGTAAAACAGAAACTTACCAAGTTTGTCCATAAGAAAGACATGGACCGAACATGAATTATGAAATTTTTCTTTCAGTAACTTTGAATTTAAATGACGTTGGCTTAAGATCATAACACATCCTCAGGTCATAAGCCATCTTTGTGTGAAGAAGTAGCTAGGTTTTTCCAGAAGAAAGATATGTACCAATTATGAATTTATGAAATCTTTCTTCCAGTGACCTTGAACTTCCCCATATGACCTAAGGTCAAGGTCTTGACACACCCTTAGATCACGAGCAATCTTTTGTGAAATGGGATCTTACCAAGTTTATCCAGAAGAATGATATGGAGCGGACACGAATTATGGAATTTTTCTTTCAGTGACTTTGAACGTCTCCAAATGACCTTGGATCAAGGCCATGCCACATTCTTAGGTCATGAGCAATCTTTGTGTGAAGCAGTAGATTCTAATGTTCCTCCGTAAGAAAGATATGGACAGGACACGTTTGCACAGACAGACATACAGCTAGACGGAAAAGATGATTCCTATATACCCCCAAACTTCGTTTACGGCGGGTATAGTTATGTACCTAAGTGTATTCTAGTAGTCTGGTGTGACAATTTTTATTGATGTTAATCCAAATGAAGCATTTTGAAAGTATTTCTAAGAAAATTTTAGTAACCATGGTAACAGCATTCATTGGAGCGAAAACCAATGCACTAAATAATGTACATGTACCTCACAAGTTATATTAAAATCAGACCAAAACTGTCGATGGGATAGCATTTTAAAGGAATTTCAAGAAATTTCTAGTTTTAGTAATGATGAAACGGAAAAAAATATCAGCAATGAAGTAACAAATTTTTTTTTTATTGAATAGCAATCAGTAAAACCGATGTAAAGTTAAATCGAAACTTCTAGTGAAAACTGAAATAACGACAATTTTCATCAGTGACTACATGTAAAAATGCTTTTTGACTAAAGTAAATGTTACGATTTTTAGTGATCTTACAACAGATACAATTACGAAACAGGTACTTGAAAGTTCTCTTTTATAAATTATTTCGTGCCTTCCGATCAGAATAAATCTTAGTCGAAACTAGCTCGAGAGAAATGTCCATTGTATATACGAGTCCGAGGTACAGTTGTATATAAGAGAAAGGGACGTTAACGAGACTTTTACTCGTAGCAATAAAAATATGACGTTTTCTAAATTAACAGGAGAATAGAAGATTTCAAAGAATTAATGTATTTTCACTTTATAATAAATAAAGTTATAAGCCAAAATACCGCAACCCCTCATGACCCAGAGGTAATGTTTCAAATTTTGATTGATTAATTGTATAACTTGTTTAACGTCCCTCTCGTTCAAAGTTTGAAAAATGGAATATTGCTGCTCCTCATAACATGCACTTAAGTTTGTCTGCTAAAAACAAAGGAGCAAAGAATTAAAAGAAGAAAATTCATTTTCTTAATATTAACAAGACCCATTCTAAAACCAGAACCCTTCACACTGGACTGATGAATTTACAATTTTGGAAGTATTCTGGCTTATCATATGCAGGGTGTGGGGATTGAGATGAGATTTCAAAAATCTATGCATTTTTTCGATATGATCAATGAATAGAAAGATAGACCAGAGGTCTGTTTTCCAAAAGAACTTACGACCAAGACTAGAAAGTTAAAATGATTATAAGATTTTACAAAATTTAAAATTATTCAGTTTAAAATTGCTAGCGTAAAATACGAGGGTTGTCCCAAAAAGTCGTAGACAATGTTTAGAATTTTTTAGTCATGCAACCAATACTTACCAAATTTTGCAAAGACGTAATGTAGTCAATGTTCTTTAAAATTGTGAATTTATAAATACATATCTTTCATATTAATATGATTAGAAACAGACGATTGGTGTCATGATTTTCATAGTATCGTTGAAATTGAGTTTGATGAAAATGACGTCGTCAAACGCGTAGTCGGCGCACGGAGATGTAATAAATTGTGTTGGATATGGTTAATATACATCGGGGACGGGAAAAAAGAGTACAGAAGTGACATATCACACCAGATTTTAATAAAGAAGTTATTTTTAATTTGCACGATATTCAATGAGAGTTTTTCTTCTGTGCCGAAAATAGTTAATTACGGCATGTAAGAAGTAGAGTACTGTTTGATAAACGCAGACAATTTGGAAAAATCTGGACCGCGAACGACGTCAAACAATTTGTATTCTTTGATGCCTACAATGCAAGGCGATCTTTCGACTAAATTCCGACTGAAATTTGAATCTGCTCAAAAAAAAAACAAAAACAAACAAACAAACAAACAAAAAAAAAAAAACAAACAAACAAACAAGTAAAAAAACAAACGGACAGTTGTGAATTTGAATATGTCCGTTAATGAAGAGTGGTCTATCACTTAAAAAAAAATTATTGAATGTTAATACCCGCTAGTGAAGCAGACAAAGAGATCAAAACGTTATAAGCGACGTTATTTACGCTTGCTTTCGTGCGCCGGTGTACACTTATATTCTTTCTTTGTTGTTTCATAATTTTCTTATGTGATATCATCATGAAACTTGAAGTGCACGATCATAAAATGTTACTCTTTGCTATGACAAGGAAAGAAATTTAATAAGGCAAAGAGAAACAAAACTGTTTTACCTGTCTACGACTTTTTAGGATAACCCTCGTATGTTTCTGTATTTCTTTATTTTTATTTTTTTTTTTAGATCAATAATATTTTTCAATTCAATGGAAATTAAAAAGTTAAGGGCAGAACTTAGTTTGGCCTTAGTCATAAATACTGTGTAAAACAGGCCCCCTGTCCTTATGTATCAACGTCATTCTTTAAAAAAAAATATATATATATATACACTGTATATAAATACTCGTATATATTCTTAACATTCTTAACAAAGTTTAAAGAACAGTTTTTCAAAGTAAGTGTACATCGATTTTCATATATGAATCTTTTTTAGACAAAATGATAAAAAAATATGACTAAACAAAAGCAAAAGTTGTTTATCGCATATACAATATCTCTGCATAAAAAACAAACAATAACAATAAACAAACAAAACTAATTTGTATGGCAATTTAGGCAAGCATGAAATTTTCTATAAACTCTGACTATGGCGATCATAAATATTACTGATTGATTCTTTACTCTTTACAGTAAAAAATATTAGAATTAAAAAAATATTTTAGGTACCATATATTCTAATTGTCTTTAAAGGACGTATTCACATATACATTTCCTTGGGATAGCATCTTCGAATTCGCATATACACTGTCTTTTCCACCTACAAATTGAATAAATTATTTGTGGATCTTTTTGTTCAGGAAAATTAAAAACATTGCATAGATTAAAGAAAATGTTTTTAAAATTTGAAACATTTGGCTCCTAAGCAATAAATTTAAAAAAAATTCATTTTGGAGATCGACAGAATTTTTTTACTATCATAGATAGAAAAAAATTCTTGGACATTGAACTCCCGATGATATGCATTATGCCGAGATTGTAATAATAATAAGAAATAAGATAAATTACGAGGGACGTTCAAAAATTACGCGGACTGTACTATTATTTACTCTTACAGACGTCATATAGTTATGAAATTTCAAAGAAATATGTATCTTAATGATTCCAATACATTTTGGGCAAAATTTCTATATTTAGAAAAAATTCTACGAAAATTATCGGTATGTTGAGATCGCTGATGGAGAGGTACGGAGCACGACAAAAAATCTGAAGCAAAAGCATGCGGAATCAAAAAATTTAACTCATTAATTTTCTATAATTAGCGATATTTTTCGACAATTTTCTCAAATGTATCTTTAAATTGTTCTTTAATTATGTATTTAGATTTCTGTCATGATATTTGAAGTATTAAAAGAAATAGAGTGGTTTTTCTCCGATGCGATTCCCATGAAAACGACTGTGAAAATGACGTCTCCTGAATTGACGACGCACCACATTTTTGTTAAAATATGTGTAATGCTCGAGATATCGCCAACATTGATCCAAAATATGCATAATAAGACGTGTAGTAAACTAGGGTTTTCGTGACATTCGTCCACAAAAAGCAAATGAAATTTTAGACCGTTAGACTTCTGTAAAAATGCTATACGGGAGGACAGGAAGAAGATTATCGACGAAAACTTTACTGTATAGGGGATTAATTTCACGGGTTGTAATTTTCACGGTTTTCTCACATCTGACACGATCGCGGTTTCTTGAATTCGCGGAATTTGGTATGTAATAAAAGTTACTTCCCTTGTCTCCATTTAATCCATACCATAGCTACATGTAAACGACATTAATCAGCGTTATGTCTTTATTTCACGAACAACAGGGCAAGTTATTATAAAATTGTTAAATTTTATAAATAATTAATTAACACAAGTGCAGCTACATGTACTAATAGTCTCTAAACGTTAAATGACTTTCCTATATGCTATTACGATGAGTGCATGTGTACCCCAGATCTTCAATACAACGCAGCGAATAACTACTGGACGGAAATAAAACTTTTTATGTAGTTCTACGAAATAATATGATCCTTCCACACTTCCTTCGTCAGTAAGTTCGATATTTATTTGAATGATTTTTTAAAACCAAAATGTAGATAAAAACTACATGAACTAACATGCATGAGAATGCAGGTAACAAATACACGTGGTAACATTAGTTACGCACGGGAAATCAAAACCCATGGCCTACGTTGTTTTGATTGATGAAACATGTAGCTTTGGCTATTAAAACAGCTTTTGAACAAACACAAATTATTATCTGCCGATTTGAATTAAAGTAAAGCGTGATAATTAAAATTAATTGAATCCCAGTACTACTCGCAATTACTGAAATGACCATGGACTACACGAACACCTATATAAATCTATGGTAGTCTATTCTCAATTTTCCAAATAAAACATGGAGATTATTGAAAATTTATTCACTGTTTCTTGAATTCACGGATTTGTTAACACCGTGAATATAGCGAATATTAACACCGCGAGTTATTTTCCCCCTATACAGTATTCGGACTGTAAAGTACGTGATTGAGTGTCACCAATATCACACTATATTTCATAAATACCTGCAATTTTTGTTTTTGTTTTTTTTTTTTAAAAAAGAATATTCTTGAATTGTTTAATATATTTTAAGCTCGAGAAGAAATGGTGTTTGGATGTTAAGTAGATAAGGTAACTCAAACTATACAGGTACTCTTGGGAAAATGTTTAGAAAATGAAAGCTCAATCACATATTTTTATAATGCCCGTGACGTCGAAGATTTTGCTGCTCCGTGACTCAATGATATGTCCTGATAAATCACTTAAAATTGATACCAATTTACAACATTTTGATATGAAATTTTGAAGACCATATAAGTAAAGATTCTTTTATATTATGTGTGACATTTTGTCCAATTATGTCGTCAAATATTTTTTCTGTGCAACAAGTCCGCGTAATTTTTGAACGGCCCTCGTATATAAATCGCATAATAAGAAAATCGATCCGTAAAAAACGTCAATAGTGCTATGAAATCTTTTTTAAAACTAATTAGTAGGAAAAGTCAACAAAAGTTACCTTGTTGCCTGAATATTTCATTCACATTATTTCTTCTACTTTTTAAAATATTTCAAAAAACATTCAGTAAGTTATTTTTATCTTTTCACAAAACAGATTGATAAAGTATGTATCAGTGTTTTCTTGTCGCTATGGTGGATGATACACCTACTCCAATTGCTAATGATGACATGAAATAGTTAAATTTTTACAGGCCCTTAAAGGAAATTCTGTACGAAGGTCTCTAAAACATGATTTTATTAAACGGAATTTTTTTTTATTATATTGGTTCTGTAATGATAAATACATTTCACTTTATGTTATTCCCCTCATAAATCTAAGATTGTATAACAACAGCTGCAATGATAGAAGAAAAAAAAAATTAGATTTACTCGCAAATGCGGTATATTTTTTTTGGCATTGTTGCAACCATTCTTTTCCATATACTATAACAAAAACACTTTTATTGTTTGATTAAATACTTCTTGCGAAACATATTAGTGTTTTTTTTTTTCAATTTTTAATGAAATTAATAGATTCAAGAGTTTCTGCTTTCATTATTGATTTTCAATATTTTCAGTAAAGATATGGTACCTTTAGGACTTGTAAATTTTTCATACTTGCTTTCTTCTTTCTGGGGTTGCAGATCTTCATATGTTGAACTGTAATGTTCAAAAATGATGTTCCGTCACAAATCATATATTGATATAGTAGACTTCTGATTTTTTTATTGGATTTTCTTTTGGTTTACTTATTATAGACCTTAACTCTGAGAATTACTTACCCGGACATTCTGTTTTCTAAAATGAAATAAGACAATTCAAGTAATACTCTGATAACTGATTAACATGAAATCAAAAGAATTTACAATAGATTCATTTGCAAAGTCTTTAGTGATAGAATTGTACATACTGTTTGGTGTTCGAATAGCATCATAACTGTTTTCCTGTTCACGTCTATTCTGATTTAACTCTTCATACTGGGCGCTGAATAAATTAATTTAACATTTATTTATTAATCTAAATTAACTCAATGACGAGTCAATATCAAAAAGTATCCTACAGTATCAAAATACTGCATAAACATAAAAAAGCAATGGCATTAAAAAATACAGTCTTAAAAAGTAAAAAAAAAAAATTAAATAAAATGTAGCTGTTTTGCATTAAAGCGTACATTAAGTCATTAATGATATTCCCTGCATTTGTGTTAGCCTGCTAGTAAAACTTTTATTTATAGAATATGACGCAGACAGGGATACCTGATGAAAACCTTTCGCATATTTTAAACACATATTTAATCGAAGAAAACAGTAGAAAGTATATTACTATAATTTTTTTGACATGTTCAGATAACTTTGAAAATTTAATTTAGTATTTGTATTGCCTCAATGTGATTGTGCAAACGAACGTACTACATAATAACGCGTAAATTTGATTAAGCGGCATTTCCGGATTATCACCGTATAAGCAAAAGCCGGGCATTGCTCCATGAGCAATGAGTCCGGTTATAATAAATAATAACAAATCATATTTAGACTTCTGATCAATTTTTAATCACGATTTTCATTTGGTTTACTCATTATTGACATTAACTCTGAGAACTACTTACCCGGAAATTCTGTTTTCTAAAATGAAATAAGACAATTCAAATAATATTTTGACAACTGTTAACATGAAATCAAAAGAATTTTGAAAATATTTATTAGCAAAGTCTTTACTGATAGTATTGTACATACTGTTTGGTGTTCGAATAGCATCATAACTGTTTTCCTGTTCACGTCTATTCTGATTTAGCTCTTCATACTGGGCGCTGAATGAATTAATTTAACATCAATTTAAATTTACACAATGACGTGTCTGTCACAAAAATTACCCCACAGTAGCAAAATACTGCATAAACGATGGATATGGAGAGAACGAACAGTTTTCAATATCGAAGTCCATAAAACAATACAAAATAGGAGCAGAGCAAATACGGACCTCGGAAACATCGGAAGTGAGATCAGGTGCCATGGAGGAGAGGAGTGAGCATCTCCTACTGTCCGGTCACACCCACCGTATGCTCCTTGTCATGATCGGGGAAAAAGCAATAACACTAAAATTAAGTTATAACTTAAAAAGGAAAGGGAAGTGACAGAGACAGTCGCGGCATTTTAAGGTTGGTGAAAGAAAACAGAGAGAAATAAATCAGACATTGAAGCCTTATTAAATGAAAATAGAGACTCTGCAATAGCTAAACGGACAGTCCAACGAAATTTGTACAAACAAGGGTATTTTAGAAGAGTTGTTCGAAATCTCATCAGAATTCGCGAAGTGAACAGAAAAGCACGACTCTCCTGGTGTAGAGGAAACAGATACAAAACTATCGATAATTACTTGAACATAGTGATCTTTAGTGATGAATGCAAAGTGGATGTGACTTGGGACTGATAACCGTGTGTTTATATGGAGAAAGGTGGGCGAAGAGTGGATGCCATGTTGTATCTCGCAAACTCCAACACCTAAGTTTAGCTTAATCGGATATGGGGCTGCATCACTTTCAACTGTCTAGGGATTGTGACTGTTGTAGATGGTAACATTAATACATTGATATAATTGAAGGTCAACTTTGGCCAGTTATAGCACGCCATTTTCCTCGAAATAACTATACATTTCAAGACGACAACGCCCCTATTCAAAGAGCCCGAATAGTTCAAGAATATAAATTACAGAATAATATTCATTCAATGGTTTGGCCCGCTCAGAGTCTGGATTTGAACATTATTGAAACTATCTGGTTGAGACTGAAAGGAGAACTGGAAAACGAAAACGAAATATTCCTGTGTAAAAATCAGCTGGAGACAGCCATTCGACGTATCTGAATAAACATCCCGATTTATTATGTTCAGGGCTTATACAGGTCGATCCCAAGAAAGTTCTAAGGTCAAAAGGCTATATAACTAACTATTAAGGTAAGAAAAAACATTTTGTGATTTTATTTCTGTGTTTTATTTTTCCGAAGCGTCTCGTTACTACGGCGGCCATTTTGAATTTGGACGAACACTTATGGCACATCACTGTATCTTTTACCTTGAATTCATTAGATCTATAGTAAGTATTAATTTTTTGTGACCTTCTGAATTGATTATTTTCAAGAGAAAAAGAAAGAATTCCGTGCATTTATAACAATTTAACTGAAAATTCTAACCTTCATGTCGTATGCATCACGTAAGATACTGTCTTGTGTTTAAAATTAAGCTTTTGACAAACATAGTTTTTTGATGAAACTAGGACATCAACAGTCTCGCTGAATGTTATCATTTCGCCTGTTCTATGGCTCTATACAATGACCTAGACAGCAAATAAAACCTATCGTTAACTCGAATGCTAGTTGACGTTTTTCATACTGATTGTAAGGCTATTTTTAATAACTAAATTGTTAATTGGTTTTTCTATTTGCCTGACGGTTAATACACAGCCGATATGACCGGAATTTAAGGAATGTTCCTCCATGGCTATTAATCCCAACTGAGATGATTTGTGCTGTTTACTGGACTTTTGAAATTGATTACTGAGTGTTCGTTATCTTCATATTTAATACAAAGTGTTTTGCCACTTTCAGTAAAAGACAACATACATCTTTCAAGACTTTAAATCTTTTTAATTAACAATACCTTCCGACTTGTAATAGATACACTACCTCATCTCTGCTCCAAGGCCTTAAATCAAAAGAAAAATGAACTAAAAGTCAAGTTGCACACATTTAAAAGTCACATTTAGGAAACAATGTGCATGTAGTAAATTTGTACGTACCTGGTAATCTTGAAAGACTATCTGATGCTTTCATTTTCGCCCCACTGTGATAAAAATATTTCTTATTTTGGCATGTTTCAAACAATCTGCTTTAAAAAATCTTAAAACATATATACAATGAAAGTGTGGTAAAACATGAGATTATATACTTAAAAAAATCCTTTAGTCTATTGTAAAAAGATTGACGGATTGATATTGTGTACTGTGTATCACAATATTTTATCAAAATCCACAGCTTAAAATCTTTAAGTTGACATTAAAAAGATTCTTGAGTTTTTATAAGGCAATAAATATTTTGTTTTTTGAGACCGTGTCTTCAAACAATCTATTGGAATTTCCATGGATACTAGTTGCTCCCCGTTATTAGCATACCTATTTTTGTATTCATATGAAGCAAAATTTGTCCAAAATTTTAATGCGTAATAAGAAAAAAAAACTTCAACTCGACGTTTAGATATAGCGACTACGTATTGTCAATTAACAACAATAATAATATTAGTTACATAGTCTTTTAGTGACAGGGTATGGAATGATACCTGGTTAGTAAATTTTATACCTGGCGAGGCAAAGCCGAGTCAGGTTTGAAATTTACTAACCAGGTATCATCCCATACCCTGTCACTGAAAGACTATGTAACGAATTTACCCCACCGATGAAACATTTACGTTTTATCTGTAGTTCATATATGGTTTTCCCTGCTAAATACTTCATTAGGCTTACACTGTACATATCATGACGTCATGTTTGTGTTTGTGACGTAATACATCGACTGGGTATAGATTTACAACTGACCGGATATAAGTAATCCACCGCCTTCACTTGACAGACTTCAACCAATCGTAAGCAAGGATTTCACGGAAAAATCGACAGAGGTGGGGTAATATCCATTAACCCACCTCTGTTGATCTTTCCGTGAAATCCTGGCTTACGATTGGTTAAAGTCTTTCACGTGAAGGCGGTTGATTACTTATACCCGGTCAGTTGCAAATCCATACCCGGTCAGTTGTAAATCTATACCCGGTCGATGTATTACGTCACAAACACAACGTGACGTCATAATAGGCACAGTATAAGCGTGGTGAAGCATTTAGCAGAGAAAATCATTTATAAACCACAGATAAAACGTAAATGTTTCATCGGTGGGGTAAATTCGTTACATAGTCTTTTAGTGACAGGGTATGGGATAATACCTGGTTAGTAAATTTCATACCTGACTCGGCTCCGCCTCGACAGGTATGAAATTTACTAACCAGGTATCATCCCATACCCTGTCACCAAAAGACTATGTAATATTAGTTACATAGTCTTTTAGTGACAGGGTATGGGATGATACCTGGTTAGTAAATTTCATACCTGGCGAGGCGGAGCCGAGTCAGGTATGAAATTTACTAACCAGGTATCATCCCATACCCTGTCACTAAATGACTATGTAACGAATTTACCCCACCGATGAAACATTTACGTTTTATCTGTAGTTTATAAATGGTTTTCTCTGCTAAATGCTTTATCGCGCTTATACTGTGCCTATTATGACGTCACGTTTGTGTTTGTGACGTAATACATCGACCGGGTATAGATTTTACTGTGACCGGGTATGGATTTACAACTGACCGGGTATAAGTAATCCACCGCCTTCACGTGACAGACTTCAACCAATCGTAAGCCAGAATTTCACGGAAAAATCAACAGAGGTGGGGTAACTAATATTCTTATGTCATTACGATATATCCTGGTGAACTTAAGACAAAAGACGCCACAGAGTCTGACACATCTGTTTCATATTTTGATATTTTACTTGATAAAGAATTTAATGATAATCAAACAACCAAGCTTTATGATAAAAGTAATGACTTTAATTTTTCTATCGTCAACTTCCCTTACTTATGGAGTATATATATATATATATATATATATATATATATATATATATATATATATATATATATATATATATATATATATATATATATATATATATATATATTCATGGTAAGTTACACCTACGTTACTAGGTAGGCATACGTAGTATAATATAAGAAAGCATTATTGAAGATGTTAAAGGAATCTTATAACAACAACTTAACTGCTAGGGTTTACTTTCTCCGAAAAAGGGGGGGGTAACATCTGTCTTCAAGTAGCCAATACAGGTTCCTTGATAAAATAAGACACTTCTTTGACATATACGAGCCTTTTTCTTGCTTTTAACGATATTATCGCTCTTTATCATTCATTTTATTAGGGCAATAATAGGGATCACAAATAAAAGTTTCAAATAAAATTTTGAAGCGAGGGATCGTGTCAAAACCGGAAGTGCTATTGATAAAGCATCTACCCGTTGATAAAGC